TGATAATGAGTACGTGGAGCTGAACTTCAGTAATGTACGTGTGATAAGGAGTACGTGGAGCTGAACTTCAGTAATGTACGTGTGATAAGGAGTACATAAAGCTGAACTTCAGTAATGTACATGTGATAAGGAGTACGTGGAGCTGAACTTCAGTAATGTACGTGTGATAAGGAGTATGTAGAGTTGAACTTCAGTAATGTACGTGTGATAAGGAGTACGTAAAGCTGAACTTCAGTAATGTACATGTGATAAGGAGTACATGGAGCTGAACTTCAGTAATGTACATGTGATAAGGAGTACATGGAGCTGAACTTCAGTAATGTACATGTGATAAGGAGTACATGGAGCTGAACTTCAGTAATGTACGTGTGATAAGAAGTACGTAGAGCTGAACTTCAGTAATGTATGTGATAAGGAGTATGTAGAGCTGTAAGTCTTTTAGAATTGGATGTGTAAAATTTTATCCTGTGCATGTACATATTATGTGCAGTATGTATATGGCTATTAATTATCATTTAAGCTTACACTGAGAAATATCAGTGTTTCTGTACAGAATATTATTAACTTGTGTGAAAAAATAACAATACTTAAAAATTATATAACCATTAATTATTTAACAGTAATACTCTTGTTACATAGTGTAGTATATTTTATTAGTTCTTGAATCTTTTGGGTTTAGAAAGTCTTCTTAAATATCTCTTGTTTAGAATATTTTTTCTATTATATGTTTTTATATATTTTATTTTTTCATTAGAAGAGAACCCATACAAATGAATATAAAAAAGTTTAAACTTATACAGCAAATACTGAAGTGTAAGCAAACCAATGTCAAGAAATAAAAATAATATTAGGTTGAAAAAGGAAATTTTGTAAAGTATTATAGATTCAAGGAGGTTAGTGTTTTGTAAGGAAGTAGAGGTGGTGCATTATGATTAAGGCTTTTCTAAGATGAAAAACTCACTAGTGAGTGGTGTCTGTTCTTACTGAGGTGGTCACAAAAAAGTCTTTAGAATTTCCATAGATATTAATATGCATGTATTGATTTTTTTCAGTTTTTATATTTAGTGTTTAGGTTATTTATGCTTGTTCTATGTGATTAAACACCGACTTAGCATACCATATGAAATTAATATCAACTTTTTATCATAGAAAGCTACCTACTGGTAATAGGTGAAAACAGATGAATGGGTAACCTACGTGTAGTTATGTCATTCAAGCATAATTCTAACTTTTTTTGTAACTGTGGGTAGAAGGCTGTTTAATGTGTGTAAACATCTTCTCAGTTAAATATTAATCTACTTTAGTAAAAGTAATATATTTCTTGTTAAATCTAAATTTATATGTTAATGAGTTTAGATATGTATTTACATTTATCTGTATATTTATATATATATCAAGACTACACAACAGTTAAGTTTATGTTTATGTTCAGAGGTGAGACAGCATAATAACAATGTATTGATATTTTAAATCAGTTGTTCAGATGAAAAGGATAAAGGCACAAAGTGCTGTACCTAAAAAATAAATGTATAATATTATTGTATACACTACAATCTTGAAAGCGTACAAGAAATATCTTCAGTAGTAATCCTTTTAATAGTATTAATATATCATCATTCAGATTTAACCCCTATTGGTAAAAAGAAAATATGCAATTAACAACAGCATCCCACATCTGAAACCATGATTCACAATTCTTGTCCAGGTGTAGGAAGGTAGTTGTGTCTAATGAAACACAATTATAAAAATGAAACTGGTTACTACAGTTAAACTTTTGGGAATTGCATGCTCTTTTCAACAGTACACTGAAACCTAAAATGTCCGTGTTACAAATTATAATTATTAGGTTGTAATGGACTAAAACTAATGCTGCTACAGTCAGGGTCAAACAAAAAATTTATTAAATTGTAATAACAGCAGAAATCCAAAATAAAACTTTCAAACAATTGGAATACAAGTTTTATCACTTACAAAAAAAACATTAATAAACAATACAACATAAATATCAATGTTATTAATTTCAATAAATAAAGGAATTAGGAAAATAACCAGAAGAAGGAAAAACCTAAACTCCGAATAAACAGTATTCCAAAATTTAACCACTTCCCAAGATCAATAACAATATTGAGCAACAATCATGTGACTAACTAATTTACATAATGTTTTACAACATTAATATCTCTACATCTCTGTTAGGGGAAGCTTGTGTCAGTTTAATAATATATACATACTCAAAATTCAACGTGCTCTCGCTAGAAGGTGAGTTAGCATTTTAATATAACTAAAAATTCATAGTCGAACTAAACAGTAGAAGGAATAATAAATGAATGGTAAACAAAACCACAACAAAATAAAAGTAGAATTTGTTTTTTCACAAGGTAAATGGTACAGCAGCATCCATGTGTTGGAAGATAGTATTTCAAATTTTATTCAACTGTTCTTACAGGTATGTAACAGTAATAAGAATTGTAATGCCTACTTGGAGATTATGCTGTTTACAATAATGTAGCTGTTGTAGTTTTACTTTCATAATTCTGATTCCTTAATAATATCTACCCACCCACAACTTGCTGCATACAAAGAATGGTAGTTGTAGATGTGTATTGTTGAGATTTTGACTCCAGTATCTACTCGTAATTGATTTTTGTTAATCATACTTTCTCTTTAACCTCATTGGCTGAAAAATTGTTTTTTATATATTAATACTAGAGCTGGGCAATTAGTGGAAGTTTATAATGAGTTAATTGTTGGGATCGTTCCCATGAGACTTGGATATTTAGAATAATCAAAATAGTAAATATTGGAAACATTAATTTTGATTAATTGATGACATTATCTGATTAAGATGAACAACTTTGAATTAATTGAAAATAATGAGAAATCATGATGGAAATATTTTAATTACTTGGATAGTCGGAATAATCAAAAACAGTAATAATCAGAAGTACTAATTATGATTAGTTGATCATTTTCGTGATATTAATTGATTTTATTGTAATTTTGACTAATTGATTATTTTAATTGATACTCGTTGATGTAATCAATGGACATAGATAATTTATTATGTTAATTAATGAGGATAATAGCCCGGTTCTAATGCACATGAAACAGTAGTAAAAAACTTAAGCGAACATAATTAGTAAGTTTATATTTACACGTTGATCAAACTCAACTAAATATGGGTTTTTACTACTCATTAAGTAGGAATAGAATAGTACAAGAAAATACTGTAAATAGCTGAAGATTTTTCTCTGAAAATCACCTTAAAATGTTTCATTGTCATAAAGATGTCACGAATTATGACATCTAAAGTAACTGTAAGAAATAATACTTATCTCACTCTGTTAGACCAGAAAATTGCTGTCTTTACTTTCTTCAAAATTAGTGGAGATGTGTTTCAAGTCATGAACAGCAAAAGTTGTTTATATTTGTGTCTGAGGATAAAGTAAGATAACTCATTAACTCTATCAGCACAGGCTCAATCCCTAGTACCAACCTCGTAACCATAGTTTTCGTGCTGTAACTTTTAAATTA